TCTCACGGTGCGTTTTGGCCTCTTTCCTCTGCAGGTGCCGTGTTCTCCTGGGGCTGGCCATGGCAAAGGGCTCCGGATTCCTTTGGAACGAGTGGACCGAGCGGGAGAGACGCGCTTGGGAGTCCCACCTGCTTCCAGCTTCCCCAGCCGGTTGTATTTAAGCGGACGTTGACTTATTTATTTGTACAGTAATTTTAAGAGGAGAACTACAGAGATTTTATTTTTGCGCAAGTCTTCTGTGTTGTAAGATCCTGCGTTGTCCTACGCAGTGAGTAGCACAGGTGAAAACAGGGCTAAAAAGACCTTTATTGCCAGGTCCTGCCTGATGTGGCCGTACAGGAATGTCTGAACTTGCTTTCTTTTAATTCCCTCTTGCACATCCGTCTTTCCTGACATTCTGTAAGGACTGCAACGAGATGGACCGAAACCACCCGGGAAGGGGCGTCTCCGACCCGCTGGGAGCTGCCTGGGCTCCTCAGCCTCCCTGATAACACTGGGTTGCTCGTCCTTGGCCCAGGACCTAGACGTTGTCTTTACACGATTTTAATTAGAGCTTTTTTGTATAATTTCTTTGCTCCGTGGCGCTTGGCCACGTACCCAAGCGCTGGCTCCCAGATGAGCTGGCAGCGCGTGCAGTGTCTACGCCGAAAAGTTTTTTAGCAGCAACAAAAAAGCATTTTTCTTCACAGTAGCTTTTGAATATTCTTGCTTAGCTTAACTAAACCGCTTTCTTAAAATAAATACCACGACTCGTAACGATGCCGACTCGATTGGAACGTGTGCGTCACGGGGGCTTCGCGCGTCCTGCGGGGCCGGGGCTGCCGCAGCTGCTCTGCGTGGGGCAGGTAAAGGGGGAGGTTAATTTGCCCTCGGGGGGGGAAAATGCTGTGAGTGCCCCGGGCTCTAAACCACAGCATTTAATAACGCGCAGCGAAGACACTGGGCTTAATCCCCGTCCTCGTTTGCTAACGAATGGACGATGCGAGACCGGAGGGTCCCCAAGGACCAGCTGCGCAAACCTGGGAAACAGCAGTCAGGAAACCATTCTGCTTTGCAAACTGGGCTGTTGCGGGGGTTAATTAAGGTTAATTTGGAATTGAGGTTTCTCAGCTGCTCCTTCAGCCCATAACCCTGAACCTGCTGCAGGCTCCTCTGCCCTCTCTTAGCAAAGGCCGGTGCTGCTGGTCTTAGGGGCCGCGTTCCGGTGAGCCCGGGTGTTTTGGGGGATTCAGGCAGGTTTGCACATCCTTGCAGTGCTGGAAACCAGGGGGCCCAAACCCAGTTCCTCAGCTCTTCCCCTCCTTGTTTTGCCTTTCTGCACCAGCATCCTCGCAGCTGCTCGCTGTTTATTTTTAGCTGGTCTATACATGTGCTTTAATCGCTCAAAACGCTGTACATTATACAAAAAAAACCCAGCATTTTTATTAATTTATAATTACACATTAAGACGGGCAAGAACATTTTCCATCTGTTAAAGGGAAGTTAAAAAAAAAAAGAAAACATTAAAAAAATAAGAGCTGCAGTAAAAAAACATATAGAAAAAAAACGACAGAAGAGCAGCTGAAGTCAGGGGGTATTTGCTGGGGTCCCCACGCTGGGGACCAGGGGGACTTTGTGCCACCCCTCCCAACTCGCGGGGTGGTGGCGCGAGGCCTTGGTGACCATGCCAATGGCCAACAAAGTGGTGAGCGCAGGGAGGCGGCAGGAAAGGGCCCCTTTTTCCCCCAAAACGTAGAGGAGAAGAAAGGCAACAGGCTGCAATTAATGCAGAAGGGGGCATGACTCATCTTTTCCTTTAAAATAGATATATATTTGCATATATATTATTCCTGGAAGGATGCCTTTGCCCCTTAAGGAAGGGCTGAGCTCCCCCACAGAGTGGTCCCAGTCTGGGAACCTTGATGCCAGGCTCCAAAATCCCTGGAATTTTCCCCTCCCCATCCTTGGTGGCAGCCCAAGCCCCGGGGCTGCTCTCATGCTTGGAAGGATGAACCTTGTGTGGCCAAAACGCCTGTGAAATTGCACATTGGAAAAGGGGAGGAAAGAGGGCTGGAGGACGCATTCCCGGCGGGAGCAGGGAAAGGGGGAAGGAGCCACCTGCAAGCAGCGCTCACGGCCTCGGATGCGGCTGAGCCCCCGGGGCTGCAGTTTGGGCTCAAAAAGTGCCACTTTTTTCTAACCAAGGCTTAATCCCGCTTATCCTCGGGCGTTCACTGATGTTACAGCTAATACTGAAAAAAAAGTGTGCACAAAAGCGGTCCAGGGAGGGGGAGAAAGACACAGGAAGCTAAAAATCAGACACAAAATTTGCTTTATTTTGTGATAAAGCACCTAGAAAGCAGCAGCATGAAGAAATGCACATGAAATACCTTCTGGCCTTGCCCGAGGGCCACAGATCGAGGTGTGCGGCAGCGGGGAGCGTTTCCAGCGATGCTTGTGGTGGTGGGAACGGCTGATGTGCAGGAGAGGCAACGGGCACCAACTGCAACATGGTGAATCCACCAGGCACCAGGAAAACCCTTCAGGTGGTCAAAAACCAGAGCAGGGAGCCAAGGGTGATGGACTCGCCCGCCTCGGGGCTGCTCAAACAGCTGCTGTGCAGGACAGGGGGCAGCCCGACTCGGGCTAGAGCCTCCCTTCCATCCCTGGGTATTTTGATGCCTTGTATCCCAGGACGGATTTGTTTGGAGCTGTAAACTCAAGCCCCACCAGCAGCAAGGAAGCGGCTTCCAGTGCACCAAATCACACCCCTTGGGCTAACCCGAAACACGTCGGTGTAGAGAGCGAAGCACAAAGAGCTTGTTCGTGTTTCTGAATAACCTGCACTAGTCCAACACGCGGGGATTAAGAAAAGGCCTGATGACGGCGTAATAAAAAAGCGGGAATTATTCCCTACCCGCGTTGAACAAGGCCCCGTGCTCGGAGCTGTCAGTTGACGCAGACGCTGGGGCCGGTCATGGAGGGCGGCAGGACGCGCGGCGCAGAGGGGCTCTGCAGCGCCCGGGCCGTCCCCTCGCGCGTCCCCTCCACACGGAGCCCTGTGTCACCGCCGGTCGCGTGGGCTCAGGGCAGCCTCTTCACCATGTAGGGCCCCTCCAGCTCGTAGCCCATCTTCCTGTAGTAGTTCCTGGTGCCGACACCTGCGGGAGCAACGACAGGAGAGGCCTCAGGCCGGGTGCCAACAACCTGGCCCGGCCCTTGTGCGGGAGGGACACGCGGCACCGCACGAGCCAACACAGCAGGACCCAGGGCAGGCGCCGGGCGCTACCCGGGGG